AGGCACTCCTCTACAGGAGTCAGCCGAGTCATCAGACGACGTGGACAATTTGCGCCAGCAAGCGCGTGAAGCACTGCTGGAGGGAGCAAAGTCCGGCAAACTGTTCGAGGTTTTATCTGCGGAAAGTGACCAGACTGAGCAATCAGCATCGCAGCCAGCCAACAAGCCGTCTGCAGAGGACGACATGGACGACTTGCGCAGGCAGGCCCGTGAAGCCCTTCTGCTTGGTGCACAGTCTGGAAAGCTAATGGAATTGCTTGCCAAGAACAGCGAGCAGAAAGCAGCGAGCAAGAGGGGCAGCGGGACCGGAAGCACGAATCCGGATGAACTGGAATTGCTTCGGCAGCAAGCACGAGAGGCCCTAATCCAGGGCGCCCAGAGCGGAAGGCTGCTAGAGGTCCTGGCGAAGCCGGATGAGGCAGACGAGATGTTCCAGCTCAAGAAGAAGTTATGCGAGGCAATTGCAGGAAGCATGGAGACGGGAGAGCTGACAGAAGCTTTGAGGGAAGCTCGCGACTTGCGGACACAAGAGATCGGTGACGCCTTGCGGGATGGCGCCGAATCTGGAAAGATCCTTGAGATTCTTGCAGAGAAGGCGGCGGGAACGGGTGGAGAGGATGCGTGGGGCACTTGGATCCCGTTCGTGCAACATGGACCGAGTCCCGTGGCTCGGCACTGCACAACTTCTGAACCTGCCGAGGAAGCCGTTGGAAACGACGCAGAAGCCTGAGGACGTGGGCCCGTGCGCATTTTGAGTCACGAGGAGAAGGCTTGTTGGATGTGTGCAGGAGGTTACCCAGAAGCTCTTGGAGACCTCAGAGGCCTCGGAGAAATTTGGGGGTATCATGTTCTGTGAGTACCGTGAGCACGCAGAGGCGCCAAAGGCGACCCCCGAGGTGGAGAGGCCAGTCTGTCTCTGCCTCTCCTTATGAAAAAAGGTTGGCCTTCCGAATCCTTCCGAGCACACTGCAGGGCGACAGCGGTGGACTTGGCTCTCCAGCATGGGGACTCAGAGATCTGGTTCGGTTCCGTCTTTCGGAAGCCGCCGTTTAAGTTCACCGTGAGGTAGTACATGGTATAATTTACGGTATGTACCCTGAATACAAAGCCGCGAATCAGGCTAAAGCTTCTGCAGGACCAGAAGAGGACGCTGAGCATTCGTTTCTGCAGTCCGTTCTCAGCGGCGCTTTACTTGTATCCCATGCCTCGGAGATGACCATGTCTTATCTCCCCCAAGCGCTTTCAATAGCGGCAGCCGGCAGCAAGAAGCGAAGCAACTTGACGATGATAGCTCGGCGTGAGACCCGAGTCTCCACGAGCCCCAACAGAAAAAGAGTTTCATTTCCCAGGGGCTGCACGCCTGGACATCGAAAAAGACTCCCGAACATCGAAAAATCCTCCATAACCGGAAGATGCTACGTTTCGTGACATCGAAAGATATATTGGCTCCAACCTTCTCCCTTTATCGGACATTGAACGTCTGTCCGTCCGTTCGTCCCTCCGTCCCTCCCTCCGTCCGTCCGTTCGTCCAATCTGTCCGTCTGTAGGACATCGAAAGATGTCGGTCGGACATCGAAAACCGGAATTTACTGTAGCGTTTTCGTTGTGATGGGGCTTTTCGATGGCCGCTGGTAATATCCCCGTCACCCCCCAGCCGGAAACCTGAAACAGATTGATACGTTTCTACTCTAGCGACAGGACGATGGCTGCCGAGAAAGAGTGCTTGTCTTCCGGGCCTGCTTGGTCAGCGAGGTTGTTGGTGGGTTTGGCAGCTGAAGTCCGGATGACTTGTGCTGGTCGGAGTTCGCTTGCTCTCTGCCCTCCAAGATGCCGTTGGAAGGCTGCTGTAGGCTCTGTACTTGTGTGATATTGTGTGGCTGCCACAGTATGCCAGGGAAGACCTTTTAAAAGAGCTCGAGCTGAAGAACAGCGTGCTTCGAAGCAGGTGTCGCAAGCGCTTTGGTAAGATCCTGATAAGGTCCCTTTGCTCATTTGATGAAGACCTGCCCGGCACGCAGGAGCAGGAGTTCTTCAAAGGAAGAGGCTGCGTAAACCCGTTTCACCCTTGCAAATCAGCAAGCGTAGAAGTGTCTTTAATGTGCAAGAGTCATAGATCATACGTAGATTACACAAGTCCAGTAGAGCAGCTGCAAGGTCGCTGTCGGATCTCTTGCCATCAAACATAGAAGAGTTGACACCTGCGAGCCCCTCCGGTCAAACAAAAGCTAGAAACAGACTGGAGTGGCTTGTGGAAATCATAGTCGGGATGTTGCGGAGCAGCACCCACTTCGACTCGAAGACGGCAACCGACCATGTTACCCTGTGATGTTTGCCCTTTCGCGATGGCAGGCTTCGTGCCAAAGTCTTTCGATCATGCACGGTCAGTTCCAGCAAGAACATAGATGACGTGACAAGGTGTTGGTTGTCCACTCGACACGAAGGTCTCGGACTAGGGTTTGTGCCGGTCTTTGTGTGAAACGTTTCACTTTACAACGGTTTCACCTGCTAGGGATTGCTGCAGTCTTCATTTTGCGAAAATGGATGTTTACAACAAGTCACACGTGGCTTGCACAGCTAGGCTAACCCACAAAACTCAGGCCAGGCTTTGCTGATCGAGCCTCAAATGGTTGTTGGTTTCTTGTTTCATTCGTTTCGCCGTGCTGATCCGCAGACATCTTCCAGAACAGGCAGCTGATCATGACGTTTCTTCCAAAGAGCAGCACAAAGTCGAACACAGCTGTGCAGGGTGCACTCTTGCAAGATAGGAGGTGCGTTTGAGCATGAGCAGAGGAGGCATGCGTCATACCTGAACCTGCTGAACTACCCACCATTTTCTCCATGCAAAGCTGCTAATATAATAGCAAGGGCTGGACAGTATCAGATCAAGCTCGCAAGGCTTGTAGCAGAACATCTTCAGAGCCAATTGCTAAATTAGTTCCATTACTTGTCGCCATGTTGCCCGGCAATTCCAAGGCAGGTTGTCACTCCATCCTGCCTGAGCGATATGGGAATAGCTCTGGATAATGGTTTTGGCAAGGCTCTGTGGAAAGTTCGCGAGGGTGGGGATGTCTCTGCGGGTGGGCGCAGGTGGTGAGACCCACAGCTCGCACCTTCGAGTCTTAGCCCAAAGCGTGACCCCGGAGCAAACTGTGGTACTCTGAGTCGTTTGCTTGTCCGTACTCTAAATTCGGGAGCTGTTGCGACCTTGAGTTGACGAAGTTTTCACCGAAGATGAGTACTAGGATGGCACATCCTGTTCTGGATCAACTTACTGGAAGACGGCTTCAGCTATGGTTCAGAAAGTATATGTAGTATGTAGGGCATGGAAACTCGTGGGCGCAAAACTTGCGTTGGACTTGTGCTGCTGCAGCCAGCGCTTCATTTTCAAGCCTTCTGCCAGGAGCCGGGATTGCATGAGCCTCGTTTCTTTTTGCAGATGAGACAGCGCAAGACATTTGCACAGCGCATGTTGGCCTGATGACATGTTGGTCACTGCTTTTCACAGATACATATGCATGGCAATCACTTAGTTTGGTTCGTAAGTACTACATCACGTTGAACTTTGGCGAAGTTGCTGTGCAGTAGACAGAGTATCTTTGATTGGGCACCGCACCTTTAAGATGGCCCGTGCCAGCTACTACAAAGTGGGGCGTGGCCCAGGCAGAGCTTGCTCGTTGGAGATGTCCTTGTGCGTCATCCGGATCTGGCTGGTTTAGCCACGGTCTTGGGTATTCGCTGTTAGCTGCTCATTGTTCCCTGGAGCCGTTTCCATTCAGGATTCGCCAGCAGAGCTTTTCGCTATTGATGCTCCAGAGGCCAAACCAGCAGTTGCACAGAAAGCATGGCACCATCAAGGGCGACAAACCTCCCTGCGAGGCCGTGGCATCTGCTCCAAGCCAAGAGCCCTGGCTTGGCGCTGTTGAACGTGCATGCGTGCCGTGCTGCGATGTGCTCCGGAGCTGTCAGCTCTGAAGCCAGATTATGGTCCAGAATTGAGGTCCTCGAACACAAACACCGGAGTCACTTAACGACTTGTTCAAGCAGAGACATGGCTGTGCACTTTTGAAGTACGCTTGGTTTCTTTAGCGATCGGAAGACCAATGTATGCTAGACTCTGCTAGACATCAGATTGTGCAGAAGCTCAGGGGGTATGTGATTTCTGTCATCAGTGTTGACAGCCATGGGGCGCTTGTGCGCAGCCAGCCTGCTTGCTGTCTTGCCGCTGATCAGAGCCGTTCGTCCCATCTAGACTGCTCTTATCCTGATGGGACCGACATGGAATCTGAGATGTGCTTTGCAAAGGCGGACGTGCAACAAGATGCCGGGTGCCCTGCAGGAGTGCCTCGAGGCTGACTCACTGTGATTCAAAGTCCGGGGTCCCACCTCTCGAGGAGATGAGGCCTGCAAGTGGCGACTCCAGGCGTGGAAGTGCGAGACGGTCTCCAAGTCCAAGACGAGCTAGGACTAGAAGAACCCCTTGACCGAGAGCTACTGCACCTGGGCCGTGACTACCGAGTCTCTTGAAAAGGCCAGCCGGGCAAAACAGATGGCCTCATCCAGACCAACGCTTGCGAGCTCAGGCTGGAACTTCGTGTCAACTGCTGGCCGATGCGGTTTTTAGGGGCATGTGCAGGGGATGGAGATCAGCACGCAGACGCCGTGGCCCTCCTTTTCTCTTTGTTGGGCGGCTTCTTCATGGGAGCTTACCCGGTTCCCATAAAGGCCTTGGCCCCCTTGGCCCCCTTGGCCCCTTCCTTGGCCTTTCGCTGGGACTAGGCGAGCCCTTGCAGGCGCCGAGGGTCCTGAAGGCGAGCCCCCACCCTGTCATCTTCCAGTGCTACAAGACTCTCAGCAGATCTCAGGGCAGCTTGGGTGATCTAGGGCCTCTCGGAGCCCTTCCCAGGACCTTCTGGGTCTTCGTCACGGGATGGCTCTTCCTGCTGCCGCGCTGGCACTTTGCCTGCTTTCCACGGGTCATGTGCAGACCGGCGGCCTGTGGTGTTAGCGCCTATGCCCAAGGTGGCAGCAAGAGTCTCCGGTCTTTTGCCCCACGTGGTGGGGAGTTGTCAGCGCCATGGGCTGGAGACTTTGCGCTCATCAAGTCGTGTGCAGACTGTCAGGCTACGCAGACATGATTCATATGATGTCTGCAAGCCAAGCCCCGGCGTTGTTGAGGATCCCTTCCGGAGTTTGCGCGATAGCGGCAATACCACGCATCGGCATCGGGATGCTCGCGGCTGTGTCTCTCCTACCGGCTTTGGGGCCAGCGAATTGTCCTCGCCTCAGAACTTCTCAAAAGTGCCGAAGCTGCTAAGGTTGCAGCTTCCTGTGGATCCATTTCGACATTTCTGGTCTTCTGGCTTGTTCTTGGAGAGTCCATGAAGGAGCACAACATCGGAGGGCACACGTGCCTTGCTGCGAGTTTTGCCCGTGGTTCTTGATGTGGCTATTAAGTATCGGTGTTGTGATGCTAGATCTCGAGTTGCCTTTTTCTACTTCTTCTGACCGCTCGTGTTGCAAAGCGTTTGTTTTCTGCTCCATCGGTGGTGACGTTTAAGATGACGATCATGACCGTTGCCTGGAACATGCTGATGATGTTCATCATCACCATCATCCTATCATCATCATGATGATGATGATCATCATCATCAGCATCGTCATCATCATCACCACCATCATTATCATCAGCATCATCATCCCTGTCGTCATCATCGTCATCATCGTCGTCGTCATCATCGTCATCATCGTCATCGCCATCGTCATCGTATCATCCATCATCACCCATCATCACTGGAATCATCACTGGAATCACCACCAACATCACCATCATCATCATCATCATCATCATCGCTGTCGTTTTAATCGTCCTCATCAGTATCATCATCACCATCGGGAAATTATAAGCAGACTTTTCCTCGCACACTTCGATTTAGTGGAGGTTGTAGTTGACGGCCCAGTTTTCGATACGGCCCAGGATCTACTTCGCACCGGCTTACCTTGCCTGCATCATCCTTGGCATTGGAGGCTGGATTTTGCGTGCTCCGGTGAAATGCGATGGGTTGGATCTCGAAAGAAGTCATGCTGAACTAATCGATGCAGCTGTGACGGTCGAGAGTGAGGGCAATGCTTCCGCGACTAAACAGTTGTAAGGATTGCCAGGGAGCGGCGCCAACGACATAAATGGAATAGCGCTCTGTCTCGCAGGAATGGTCTGGGCAACTGGCCTCGGCAGGCGCACATTTGTCGTACACCGGAGACATGTTTTGGATATGCTGAAAGTGTGAGAGCCTCTTGCTCAGCTCGGCCGCTGCGCCAGAAGAGCCTGAGAGGCGTTCCAAGGCCCACCGTGCTGCAACGTCTTGCACATCTGTTTGAGCGTTTTCCTCGTGAACCGCTCCGCAAGTTCGGATCTCGAAACGAGAGCCGTTTCGTGGAGGAGGACGAAGAGGAAGAGGAGGACAAGGAGGACGAGGACGAGGAGGACCAGGAGGACGAGGAGGACGAGGAGCATGAGGATGAGGGCGAGGATGAGAGCGAGGAGTTTTGGCAGAACCATGTGCGCAGACCTGGAATCGCTGTGAACCAGCAGGCTCGGGAAGCAAGACGCCCGTCAATCATGGCTCAAGGGGTTTCTCACGATTTCCTTTTCGAAGCCACTGTAGTTTCATGCATCGTTGGCATGCTGCAATGCAATGTCTGACCGGACAGGCGACGGTGGGTTATCTGCTTGCTGCGGCAGTGGGTGAGGGCCTCATGGCTTTTCAACGCTGTATTGGGAGTGGTGCAGGCTGGCCCCGTCCTAGGCATTTTCAGTGCCATCCAGTTCGGGGCAGTCAACCTGGGAAAACAAAGCGCGCAGCGGTCTGCGGGGTGCTTTGAGGCATCACCTGACGCCTCACAGCGATAGGCACCGATAGGCACAGATGCTTTTGTTCTGGGTGAGGACCCATCCAAGTGTCCTCCGAACTTTGTGGAAGCCTTCAACAACTTTGGTTCTTGGCGCTCCGGCGGCAAGCGACAGAATCGTAGACTAGTCTTGCCTGAACATGATCTGCTAATGTCAACTGTTGATCGAAGGACGGCGGGGTGCACGGTAGGGCATGAAGTGGGATCCGCAGTGTCGAGCGCCTTTGTGTTGCAGTTGACTTGACATGTGCGCACTGCGTCTGCTCTTGGCTGAGCCAGAGCTCTTGCAGCAGTTTTTTCTTGTGTGTTGAGCGAGTGTCATTGCTCGCCGTGCAGCGGGTTGCCGCGGATAGCAGATCCTGCAAAGATTTTTGTTCACGCCCTGCCACCCTTGTAAATGAGGGTGGATTGCTTAAATGACGAAACTGATAGCGACAGTAGCAGCAACAGTAATTCCTCTTCTTCACACTGCTACGCTTACTCATAGCTTACTTCTACTCGTCAGAGTCCATCTAACGCTACTGCCATTTCTACTTCTCTTACTCATAGTTTACTTCTACTCGTCAGAGTCCATCTAACGCTACTGCCATTACTACTACAGCTACAACGACGATTGCTGCTGCTGCTGGTGCTGCTGCTGCTGCTGCTACTACTACTACTGCTACTACTACTGCAGGGCTGCAGCTGCTGCACATCTGGCAGCCGTGTTGATTATGACTAAGCCAAACTCTAAAAGCCGTCCAGTAGACAGTCCAGCTTTGGATGCCAACGTTTGATCAGCCAATCTCTTCCTCTAAGGATGGCTTCCTTCGGCATCGGAGCGCTACTCGTAACTGCAGTGTTCGTCCTCGCCATCGCCGTCAATGCTGTGGTCTCGTCTTCTGCTCAGCATTTCCGACGTTCGTCTTGCATGTGCAGTTCGGAACTTTCCGGAGCTCGAAACCCAAATAAGACTAGCAATCCTTGAACCCGAAGCGCTCGGAACCGGGCCCAAGCCGAAGCCTCCACCTTGAGGCGCAAAGCTTTGCCTTCGCCACATTGGAAGGCTTTGGCAGGTCCCGGTACCATGGCCGGCCTGCTTTGGGCCTTAGGCAACTTCTTCCAGGCAGAGACGAGTCCACGAGAATTCTTTGAGTCTTTGGCCTTGTGGCTGAGCTGTGGCCAGACTGCCGCCGTCGTCAGAGGAGGCAGCGCGGCCTGGACAGCATTCGAAGCCCAGAAGTGCCTTTAAGATCTTCTAGACGCCAAAGGCCAGGTCTGCACATTGTGTGGGTCTGCTACCCTTTGTAGTGCTCTCAGCAGAGGCTGTGATGCTGCCTGCTAACCAAGCCATTCAATTGGTGACCTCGGGAGCCTTTGGTCTGCTCTACTATCATGAGGCCGGCGCTCCCAGTCGCATCTTAGCGGAGAGACTCCTGGCTGGCTCAGGTTCCAACCGCACGTCGAGCAGTGTTCTGGACTGCCGCGGCGCTCTGGACCTTGGGGTGCATCATCCTTCTGAGCAAGGAGCCGTGTCCAGGTAGCAGGTGATCTATGACCGAGGGCACAGAAAGGAGAGCACGGCAATCCCCCCTCCCGGTTGTGCACATGTCAAGGACCTAGGAAAAAACCATAGGACATCATAGGACTCCCAGGCAGCACAGACATAACAAGGTGATGTTTGAGCAGAGAGGGAGGGGCAAAGGGGAGCAGCCAACGACCAGGAGAAGTCCTGAGCTGCGTGCGCAGCCCTGTTTCACTGGATGCCTGCCATGCTTCGACCCCTGTACAGCGATGTTGCGGGCACAACCCAAAGAAGCCGGGTCTAGAGTGGGCGAGCGGTGTGTGTGGAGCTCTAATCAGTGCTGGATGTAGCATGATGTGTTCCTGGCCTGAGGCTGGGGCGTTTTCTGGGCAAGCGCCCTCAGAGCTCCGCCCCGAGAGCGGAAGAGCCGACGCTTCTCGCCTGGTGTTTGGGAGCCGCTCGCCTCTTGCTCCCCCAGGATGCACCGCCACTTCCCGCAGCGGTGCGGGTGCGGAACTCGGTCTTGACTGCCTCTGCGTTTCAGAAGCCTACATGTGCTAAGGCGGCAGTGCCCGAGGAGGGCGGCTTCGTAGTGCGACCTCTGACAAAGCCGTTGCCTCCGGAGGCAGGTCCCATGTCTCTCCAAGTCGCTCCTCGCTCTATCGAGTGCGTGCACGAGGTCCTCTGCGTACAGAACAAGGCTGGCAAGACAGGTTACTTGAGTCTGTGGAAGGAACGCGGAGATTCGTGTGGGGTCTGAGCAGACGACCAGTTTTGTTGCCTTGCCCTGGCTGCACTGATTCGTAATTGCGAGGCTGAGAGAATCACGCTAGGATTAGGGCCTGCGCGCTGCACTCGTCCTGCAGGGTCGATGTCTCTTGGCACCACGGCGTGAGGTTCATGCGGAACTGGGCGGCTTGGACTTGAATTGTCATGATTTACGCAGGAATATGTAGCCATGTCTCTTGCTTGCCATCTCAACAAAGGCTTTCCTGAACCCGCTTTGATCAGCAACGAGGTGACTGAAGTTATGTTCATGTATGCATCATGTTACTTGGGGGAGGCCGAGAGGCTCAGTGCAACCTTGCCAGGTGTTTGCGGAGGTCCGATATGGCTTAGCTCCTTCCGTGGTGCAGCGCTTGGACTTCGAAGACATCCGAGAAGGCCACTGGAAGTGTTGCGGTCAGTGATTCATGCTTTTCCCGGCGCGGCTGGTGCAGGGACGCTGCGTCTCTTCGCAATCCCTGGCTTCGAAGGGGATGTGCGAGTCGTGACTGTTGTGGATGAGACGGCAGCCACGGAAGTTCTGGCACAGATCGGGCACGCTGGCATGCTAGGCAATGCAGGTGCGCTTGAGTTGAGCTGCGTGGGATTGCTTGAGTCTTGCCGTTAGATAGATGACCTTTCGCAGCTGAGATCTCATGCTTTTCAGGTTTGCAGAGGAAGAGGCTTTCAGAGTTTCTCCATGCCGCAGCGGCATCTCCTTCGGCAGCCAAGTGGCCGACAACAGCAGAGGCCACGAAAAGACCGAGTGTTGACCAGTCAATGCTCCTGTGCAAATCTGCACAAATTCAGTCCGATCGGCAGGTAACATCCGGTGACTTCGCCGAGAGCCTGTTGCAGAGGCTGTGACATCGGGTGTGTACACTTTTTCAGATCACTACAGCCAGGACCTTTGCCAAACCCCTCAGCTTGTTGTAGTCCTGCAGTCACCGGCTTAGCCTTAGCCGCAGTTGTACAAGCAGGAGCAGTAACGCGGTGGTCGTGCTTTTTGCTTGTGGTCGCGGTAGGAAGTAGGTAGTAAGTATAGGTCAGGTAGTCGGCAGTCCGTAGTTGGTCGTAGATGCATGTCTATGTAGTAGATCTGGTAGGTCGTCGTCAGTCGGTAGTAGGTTATTGGGAGCGTGGAGTCGGGAGGTAACTCGCGTCTTCCCACATGCATCTGTAAGGAACTGGCAGCCATGCCTGGCCAGTGGTGACGTGCACATCCCTGAAAGCTCGCATCCATACCTAGCCAACGGTAGTGTCCACTCTGCCGACTTTTGGGTTTTGGGGTTCTAGGGTTGAGGGTTGCGAAGTTGAAGCTCTCTGGCTTGTTCAAAACACCAAGCCCCAAGAATTTTGCGGAAGTCCGCACAAACATTCAGGAACCACGAGTCGGGAAACACTCACTGCCGAATCGGGGAACAGCTAGCATCCAAAATCAGCGAACGTTTGTTGGATTTGTGACGGCGACTTACTGGATATGCTTCAAGGTGTCACATTGTGGATTTTTGACAACGGGACACATCGGTTCCCCTGCACCCACTCCTTTTGGGCCATTCGGGCTTGCCACTAATTCTGTCAACTCTGGAAGTAAACCTAGCTTATTCAGAGAGCTTCCTAAAATTCCACACCCATCATGGCCGAAGTGCCTACGCAATTGCTGCATGCCTTTTGCTACCCCACCGACCCGGGAACAGAATATTGTCGTATTGCTAAACGGGCACTTCACTCTTGCGCTGTTGACAAAGGGTTGGGGCAGGGGTGGGTGTGTCGGCAAGTGGTGCCGTGGCGATGATCTGCAAGAGATGCTTTTGGGAAAAGGGGATAAATCCCAATGACACAGGGATCGCAGGGTCGTAGAAGGCATAACTGTTTGAACCGGCCTGTGCCTTCTTGTGCACTTGATGGCCAGGCCTGCACCAGAAGTGCGTGGTGCGGCGGCGGATGAAAGTGGGCTCTTCCCTCACCAGGCGAGGGACTTCTTGGGTGCTTCAGCACATGCTGCTCTTGCAATCGCCCCTGCATGAATCTCCAGTTGCAAACTGCGATCGCCTTACTGGGGACCTACCAGCCTAAACTCAAACCAACTTGAGCCACGTGCGCCGAGTCTTGCCTTCACGTATGTGCCGGTGGTCGTCATGCGGATGCAAAATAATGTAGGCCACCGTCAAAAAACTGAAGAGACACATTCACATGCGTCGCAGCAACAATAAGTTAGAATGAATAGCCAGCGCCCTAGTGCTGGATAGTGCTGGATAGTGCTGGAGGGAGAAACACAAGCGCTTTCCTGTCAGCCCCTCGAAGCAGCAGGCCATCTGAGGCAGAGGCACATATTTAAATTGCGACGCTGGCAATGTGGAGGGCTGGAACGTGGTGATGCCCCGAACCAATGCAGCCTTTGCTATTCAAAGATGAAGCTGACCTTCAATTGCACCCAGAAGCACTTCGAGCTTCTTCGATCTTACAAAGCTGTGCGCGCACAAACATGGGCACTCTCGGTCGGTTCACCGTCACATTAAGACGCTACTGCGAGCTTGCAAACAAAGTAAAGTGCTGGCCAAATCGCCAAGTGTGTAATTGTAACGACTTTTACTGGCAGTTTTAGCAAGTTAGTCGGTTGAAAAATGGCTAAAACGTACAGTCTCTCAAGTGTTACAAAGCTTGGTTTCGAAGTTTTCCTGTTCTGAATGCCGTCGCAAGCAACCAGCCCATGCAAGTAAACACTACATGTGTCGAGTGCGTCTTGTTGTCTAGTGGCACAGGATGGAACATGTACATGCAACCTTTCCTGCAACGCTACAATACTAACACGCAGACCACGGATTGGAACCCCGAGGGAAAGACATCTTCGAATCCCCCCGACGAGTTGCTGAAGCCCCTTCGCTGGGATGTTTTCCCAGATCCGGCGGTTTGCCGGCTTTCTGGCGATTCTCAATACTTGCGAAGGTGTGCTACACTGTCTTATTCAGTTTTCAGCAATCTTTACGCTGGGCCGCCGTGTTGTTTGTGTCACCTGCGCCTGCAGGTTGCCACAGTGACATGGATGCAAGGCATCGAGCAAAAAGGAGCCCAGTGCTTGCAGGCATGGCCATGCACCGACCTAACACGCAAGCACATGCGTGTGTGGAGCAGCAAGCCCTTTGGCAGGTGGCGCCGTTGCGTTTCGCAGGTACCAGCCTGGGATCCTCGTACGATTTGACCCTCCCATGTGGGGGTGTAGTGGCACACCCGCCTGGTTCAGGAGACTTGGATGCGCAAGTAGGCATCTTGTCGAGGAAACGTTTGCAGCACGGCTTTTGCTGGCATGCCCACAAGGCAAAACGCGTATTGTGGCGGCCCTTGCTGCCCGTGACAACGACCGGGAGGCACTTGAGGGCCCCTCGATGGCAAGGACATGGAAGGAGATGGCCCTGTGGCACTCGGTGCGCGCTGAGGTCGGGTCTCCGTCTCCGAGAATCGCCCAGCGGACCTACGGATCCTGGCCGCTTGATGATCTCACATCTCACGTAAACGGTTCCACTATTGATAGCAGCCGCTTCTGGTTTGCTACTGAGGGGAGGTGGCTGCAGTGGCTCTGCGGAGACGCCTCACCGAAGCCGCCGCATCCGCCGCAGGCAAATCTGCTTTGGTGGCACCGAGCATCGCTCAGCGAAAGCGATCCCCCTGAGGCTCCGGTGGTGCCACAGGTGGCAGAGCCGAAGCTGACCTTGCCACTGGTCCGAACTGTGAGTGAAGAGACAAACTTCCGTGCATTTCCCCCCAAAGTTTGCATCGCAGCCTCTATTGTCATGTATGCGGTGACTTGCAAAGCCTCCAGTCGAGGAGATACAAGATTCAGCCACCGCTTGGTGGCTGAATACAAGATTCAACTATCGCATTGTGTCATGTCGGTTCAGCCACCGCAGGGTGGCTGAATCTGTTCGTGTGGCTTACAGATGTGTCGGGAATGAATGTAGTAGATTTACCATGCATGTTGAGGTTGTGCAGACATTTCGTTGCCCACTCAGCCTAAAGCGTTTATGCCGTTTTGAGTGTGTTGCTTCGTAGTACACGTAAACTTTCTCCGCAGGCATGTACAGACACAATTGGGATGAGCACTGCAGGATATGCCTGCAAGGTGTTGTCCACTCACCACAATGCATCTCTGCCGTTTCGAGTTTTTTTGCTCGTAAGACACATAGCTCTCCGTAGGCAAGCTTCATGTGCAGACGCGATTGGGATGGGCACAGCAGGGCACATCAAAAACATGCATGCCCACCGTGTTGGATTAAGACACCCCAGGTGGCTGAATTCTGCACCCCATGCCAGTGCGCACTCCACTTCTGGGGATTACTTCGTTGTGCAGGTTCTTGTGCATGACCAGCCGGTTTGAAGCCACATCGCTTGAGTGCAGCGTTATCGTGGGCTTGAAAGTCTGCGGTTGAGCAGATGAGGATTGTTTGTCCCGCTCATCTGGTTCGCCAGTGGCAGCAGGAGCTGCAAGGCCAAGGCGCTGTCGATACAGAGGCCGCCGATGCACGCATGTCCTCCTGCGAACCTGTGATTTAACCTGGAGCTTAACTTGTCCATACGGTCCCTAGCTTCTTGACTCACTGTGTCGGACCCGCTTCGTAATGATGGCGAAGGAGTGCAGATGCATGGCAAAACCTTTGGCCGTCAGAGTTCCAGCAACGTCCGACACCGGTTGCCCGAACGGGGAAGGTTGAGACTGCGCTGGAGCCTTCGCAGGTCACGGACTATGAGTCTGTGGAGCACATCATGTTCGAAGCTAGCAAGTGGAAGCGGCTTGTGATTGACGAGCCGCAGGACACTGCCTCGCGAAACACTGATATGAAAGCATCGATAGCACACTTGCAGGATGTTACAGGGTTCGTGAGTCCTTCGTCCTTCAAAGCTCCTTGTTTTGGTGTGACTGTCTGCCTCCACATTGCAACACCTCCGTGCAAGTCTTCGGGCGTTATCCCATGGTGCTATTCGCTTAAAGCATGCTGTTTGCCGAGCGCCGTGCATCTGAGCTCGGGCATGCAAGGACTGTCCTGCGTCGGAGAACTGGCAGTCTTTGCTGGCTCTTGCGGATGGGTTTCGCGATGACGGTCTCCCTGAGCATGGTTCAATTTCCTTCTTCTTTCTTTGGGACTCGTGACTCGTGGTTCTGCCAGGAGCCGCTATCTGGCTGCTTTGCGGCACTGCTCCCTCCCAGCTGGAGTCCATAGGGCCACTGCTGCTGGGCCGGCGGAACTGGCACGTGGCCTGGCGCCAATCCGAGTGGACAGGCCCCGGCTGTCCAAGCCTTTCCCGCTTTGGCAAGAAGGGGCATCTCTGGGGAGCAGGAAGGGCTTCGCAGGTATTCGCGGACTCGCAGATTTCTAGTATCAGGTTCGGTGGGAGGGACAGTCCGGGGTAGTGTCATTAGCCGCTTTCCGTGGTCTGCCAGCGGTTCTCAGAAGCATCTTCCGCCAAGAGCAAGCCCCCTGACCCGAAAGAGAAGAGCCAAACCCGGCGCCCCGAAAGCACCCGTGTACCGTCCCCTTGTGGTAGGATGGACTGCCTTCAGCGCACCCTTTTTGGTCTCCTTAAAGTAACTGGCGCTTAAATCACATCATGCCCACATAGTAAGCCAACATGACCCATGGTACCCCTGCAGTAGCTCATATTGATTCTTGTACCCTATTGTGCCCCACGACTGTTGTGGGAGGCTTCCCACAGCTGGCTCATCTCATCCGGACGCGTTTCCTGGCGGATCCTCCCTGGGCCTGCCTGCCACGGCCGACCCTGCAGTGGCACAACGAGGCCAAGTGCTTCATGGGTTAGGGGTTTAGGGTTTAGGGTTTGGGGTTTAGGGTTTAGGGGTTTAGGGGTGTAGGGTTTAGGGTGGGTTTGCTTGAGGTGGGTGGAGACTTCGAGAGCTTTTTAGGGTTTAGGGCAAACTAGAATCGGGTGTCATAGCAGTCCAGCTTGGTATCAGATGCTTTTCGCACACCGTGCATCATGCCACTTCCGCCTATGGTCTGTGCCAAGGTCGATCCTACTGATATGAGGCGAAGGTTATTGAAAACAGTTAACCCAGGACTCGAAGTGGACAACTCTGAGGTTGAGACCCAGCACAGTGACATTTCCGATCCCCTTGGGACCTCAGAGTTGCCCATAGAATGTCAGCTGCCCTCTTTGCCAGCCCGTGGTGCTCCGGCCCCGGGAAAGCACCGACGCTGCAGTGGCCAACCTCGCCGGCTTCGTCCTGGAGCTCTGGGATTCTTTGGGATTCTCTGGGAAGAGCTGCAAGAGCTGTGGGTTTCTCCGACCTGTCCTTGCAAGGACAGTGTCCTGCTCCTTTCCTTCGGGGCCGGCACAGCCTTCGCGGCAGCTCAGGCAAGTGTTGGAGCCTAGCAGTGTAGAACTGATGCAGATCTACTTGCAGGAGAGAGATCAGCTGCTGCTGCAGATGGGATGGTCGGCATCTCAGCCTCTTAGCACTCCTGGTATGTCCTGGACTGAATCATGCAGCTCATGTCTGCTTGTTGACCCCAGTAGCAGCTGGAAGCCAAGAGGTACAACTGCGTGGGCACGTCCCTGCTTCCACCCGCCGAGCATGCATTGGCGGACTGGGAGGGTACCGTGGCCCAGCGCAGCCAGCAGAAGCTGGAGAAGCTGGCAGAGGACATTGCGAAGCTGGAGGCGCCCTGTGCCGAGAAACCGTCCGGTGGCTGAAGGGCCATCAGTTGTGCAGGCAACCGAGAACCAGCAGGGCCTGCGCTACCAGTTGGCAGGGGGGGACGCTGCCATGGCTCCAGACCTCTCCTTTCTTGCAGTGGAGACGGTGCGCGTCCATCTGGTCTCTCTTCTGCATCTAACTACTTCCGATAGCACTGTTATTCGTGCGTCAATTGAAGGCGTTTTTTGTCATAATTGTCGCTGTTAATCCGGGCTTTGGGGTCCAAGTTTTTTCTGCGAGACTGGAGGCAGCAGAGAGACAATGCTCGGCCCTGTGCACAAGTTCTAGGGGAAGGGGCGGTTGTGGTACGGGGTTTGATGTAGTATCCTTTGCTTCTCCGCGGTCGATACGAGTACTGTTTCAGTACACACAGACTGCGGCGGATAAACCTGCTTTTTCGCTGCCGGCCATCCAAGGAAGGAATGCAAGACGGCCCAGCAGCTTAGTAGCAAGAGGCAATATAGGAAATATCCCGCTTCGTTGCTTTGCAGAGTTCGCCTCCTTGAAACCCACGGCTTCATATTCCTTCAGACAAGGCTTGGTCCCTCGTGATTCGTTCATCTTGATTCGTGCAGACAGGGCTACGCTAGGACCTGGCCAGGGCCACGGGGCCCGGGCCAGGCAAGATCTATTTAGCGGGTTTACGTCAACTTTCTCTGGACAAGTGTCCATCTGGCAAGCGCCATTTTCGGTCATGAAGGGATCCTCCACCAAACCTGACCCTTGTAGACCTGAGCCTTTGGCATGAGTTGGCTGAGCGGGTCCTAATGCCACCAAGCAGAGGTGTCCGAATCTGCGTGCGCTGCCGAGTGGAACGCCCTCCTCCCGAGCCGGAGCTACGAAGGTGCTGCTCTTTTTGTCGCGAGTTTCGGAGTTGTGGGATGCCGGCCTTTGCTCTGGGAGGCGCGGTGGCACGGGGAGTCGGCGAAGCGGGCTGCATCGCCTTGTACGATGAGCCAGCGGATGGCGATTTTGCGGCAGCCGCTACCTCTGCGCAGGCGCGTGCCCCGGGCTATCTGTGTTACGCGTGCCGGCGACGGTGAATTGAATAGTCATGTAGTTCAATTAGTTTAATTGAGGCATGCTTCATGTCTGAAGTTCTCTAGTTTTGGGATTTCGAAGCAGCTTCGCAGCGAAGGCCGCAGGTGCCATCGCCGTGATCTTCGCTGCTGCAGAGTTAGAGAGACCTTTCGGCTACCCTCATGAGAGAGCGCCACCAGGCCGAGCCAAGAACCTTTCCCTCTTTGCTTCACCGATGTGTCGCGTGCTCTGAAGGCATCCCGGCATGCATGGTGAGCCGTCGCCTGGCACACGCTCTCTTCTCCACCGTGGCCGCCAACCGGCCAGTCAGGGCGAGAGTGCTGCTGCTTGCGCAGGACCGCTGCTCATGCTCAACTTGGCTTCGAGTGCCTGAGTTGGCGGAAGGAGAGCCCGGAGGAAGACAAAGACGTCGAGGAAGGCCTGGTCTCGGCCGCGAGGCTCAGAGGCTCAAGAAAAGCTCAGAGCGAAAGCCTCGGCCCGCGGATCTCGCGCTTCGCTTGCTGAGGCCTTCATCGCAGATGATGCTGTTGACACCGCCCTACACAGACAGCTCAAGGCTGTGGACGCCACCTTTTCGCGAAGCTGAAGCGCCGCTGCCGCTGGGTGCGGCTGTGCCTCTCTTTGGCGAGGCTTTGCGGGGCGAGCGGGAGCGCTGCGAGCGCTCCCTCCGATTCGCGAGACAGATGCGGGCGCTCCTCGAGAGGCCCCCGGCCGTTTCTCTTCAGAGCTTCGCAATCGAAAGAGCATTTCAGCTCATCGCCCTGAGGAACGAGGCTCATTGCCCCGTCTGCTTCCAGGCACTTAGACTCAGACTCTTGCAGAAGTCAGAGCGGCTCTGTTTGTGGAAGATACCCGCAGATACTGTCAGAAACTCGTTTCCTGCCTTGCCGCCTTGCTGTGCCTTGCCTTTGCCAGTCTGGAGCAGAGACGGAAGCTTTTGCGGTTCTCCCCGACTGCTCGGGCCCCACAGACCCTGCAAGATGTGCCTCTCTCCCTTGGTTTCTCTTTGGAGGTTTCCACATTCTCTGTCGCGCCTGCCTTGAGCAGCAGGCCTGTGTGACGGGACCACCTGCAAAGATGCTGGAACACTCAATGCGTTCCAGGCCGGCATGGATCCAACTTTTGGCTGCCGGTGGCTGAGGAGTGACCTTGCAGACGCTTGTATCAGTCGAAAGACGAGCAGAGTTATTGTTTGGGTTCTTCGTTGTCGCCAGTTATCCATGAGTTGCTGCATGAAAACAGGTCCTATGTGCCGCACATCCGTGTTTCGCACCGGAGCTGCAAGCATTGCATTTTCTAGAATCCGGATCGGAGGCAAGGCATTTCACAGGTGATCAGGTCTCTCAAAGCCTTCGCCATCAAGGTTTGGACGTGGTCGTCTTTCGCGCACCTGGCAGGCCAGAGCCTCCAGTGGACGAGGCCCCAGCTCCTTGCAGAGTTTGCTTGACAAGACAGGCACTTAGCGCTTGTGTGTTGACGGAGCTCCTCCGCATGGAAGGATGACGAAGACCCGACGACGGTGAAGACTTGTGAGGAACTCAGCCAATTGGAATCTTCGCGTGTGTGGTGGTGACACTCTCAGAATCAGGCTGCGGTGATGCCGAAGACTGCAGTTGTGAAGGGCAGGCGACACCAAGCTGTCACGAGTGTCAAGAGTCATGGCAGTCTTTCCGCCGACGTCAGGGGCTAGAGGTAGCTTCTGTGCAGCGCGAGGCGACGGCTGGAAGCTGTTACGGGTTGCTTGGCGAGCCGTGGCTTGAATCACCTCCCAGGTGCTGCCATCCAAGCTGCAACGCTTGCTGTCGCTGCTCAGGGAGCTGCTGGCTTCTGGGCCGGAGGCGCGATTGTTTAGAGCAGGGCTTGTGATCACATCACCTGCCCAAAAGGACAAATGCAAGTTCGAATCATGGTCATAGTATGTCATAGTGCTTCCTTTCCGTCACGATGGCTTGGCATCGTTGCACGCGAAACACAAGCGCGGTATGCGGAACTCGACTTGATCATAAAGGGCATTTTGTGCAGCACAGCTCGGCCCGAGGTGAGGGCCAGCTGCCGGGGTCGAAGTTCCTACCCGCTCGTCCCTTTGTATAGTACAGGGCAACGAAAACCGATGCCAAACCGGAGACATAACGGCACCGATGAATCGGGACGACATGCAGTCGCCAAAAGCGGAGCGTCCTTGCCTCAGGGCGGAGGGCGGGACCACTTGTGCTGTTTGAATGCCGACCCGACCGGGCCCTGCACGTTGCTAGTGAAAGAGCGCGCAGACGTCTGCCACAGGTTTTCGCATCATTTGGTCAGAGCCCATCGGGTTTTGGATTCTCGGCCCAGCATGCAGGAGCGGGTGCTTGTCTACACGCAGTGGGCCACACATGTGGCCCGGATCTTACAGAGCTCCCGTGTGGATTGTCAGTGTCATTTAGGGAATGTAGGGGAAGGGATCTGATTTGAGTTCTCTCGCAGTGACAGCTAGGTCTATTTGCGAGAGGTGCTGCAGCAGCAGGGTGTGCCAGCCTTGGCCCTGGCAGTGGCCTCGGAGCGGCACACAGAATAATAATTTTCGCAGGCGAGGTCCTTGGACTGGACAGGTCGGTGAGCTGCGAGACACCATGGACGTCCTGAGTCGTTTTGGCAGCCCCGACGAGCCGAGGGTGGCTGGCCCAAGCTTTGTCGTGCTAAGCGTTTTCCCTACGCGACGGTGACTGTGTGGTGCAGGTGCTCCTCCTCTCTAGCCAGCGACATTCTTCAGGCATCAACTTGCAGGCAGGCAGCCGAAGCGACGACAATTCGAAAAAGTAGAGACGAGTTTGCCCACTTCAGCGCTCACCCGCAGATGGCTCGGCACGTGGTGATTGTGCATCCTTATTGCCAGACACTCATGTCGTGGCAGCACATGGCGTTGTTGTATCGCACCAAGCGGAAGTGTAGCTGTTCGCAGATTCCAGGCACGCCGACCGCCACCAGCCAGGACGGAAAACTGTGCACGTAACATTGCAGGGAGGTGCCTAGCAAAATCTCCGCAGATTGCAGGCCAGTCCTATAGTGGACTGGGCTCGCTTCTCGCAAGCCCGAATGGTTTTTGCATTCACTGTCACAACCACTTCCTTTTTCGAGACATAGTCTTCCAACTCTATGCCAAGATGCGGCCGGTTTGAGATGGTGTAAGGGTCGTTGAGCTTTGCTTCTTGCGAGGACTCCATTTCCCGGCTTCAGATGTTGGCCTTTGAAGCGCAAGCGATCGGTCGAGCCTGGTCCTCGGGATAAAGGGCTGAGACTCGAGGAGAGTTTCGCCGTTTGACCTTTGCCTTCCGAGCCAATGCCAGGTCCGACGTTACCCGCAGAAGAACACCGTGCATGCCATCGCCTGAATTCTCGGTAAGTCTTGGGCGTCTATGAGCATCCCAACTCCTGAGGTCCACCGCTTGTTTGCGGTGGGATCTGTGGAAGAAGAGCTTTACGCTGGAAGGCCAGAGCTTGCCCTCGTGTTTTGGGGGTTCTCGCTCCCTTGCATCGGACAGGTGAACCTGCCTTCGATTTCATGGCTTCCTTGGCTGACGCGGAAGAGCTAGCGTAGTGCGAAGCCTGAGTTAGTGACACTGTCAGTTCATGCACCCACTGTTTGGTGCATGTCCGTGGCCATGTTCATATCATCCATCAGCTGCCCTTGTTGCGAAGCGATCGCAACGGCTGCGGATCCAGGAGGCGCCTGAGGCATCCCAACGCGAACAGGTTTAGGCCCAGGCTTTAGGATTTAGGGTTTAGGGTACCCTAAACCCTAGCGCAATAGTCGAACAATTCTTAGGCGATGACGAGGAGATGGCGCATGGGTCCTATGCACGAGCAGCTGTGGAATTCGGCATGTGTAATTACCCTAGGCTGTTTGATTTTCCACCACGGGCCTCTCAGCTGAAATGCTCCGAACTGGCCATGGCAACAGCCCCGCTGCATTTTCCAACGACTGGCATTTATGGCTCCGCGGTCTGCATCCCTTTTCACAGGCCCTCCGCAGTCTGCGCTTCCCCAACCTACCAAAGAAGAGCTTCACAAGAGAGGCCGAGGGGAACATCGCTGAGCTGCAAAATGGTACGCAGTATATTTCCTATGCTTCGTTGAGAAGGTGCAAAGCAGGGATTTGCAGACTCGGGCATGCCGAGAGGCCTCCAGGAGGCGAACAGACTTGAGAAGATCGCTAGTGATCAAAACAAGGGGTTTTTAACTCCAGTTGATGAGGTGCATTGCAAAGATCTGCAAAGCAGCTAGTAGCCAGTTGTGCTTGGAATCCTTTCAACGTCTTCTTTCTGCAGCCGTTCTGGCTTTGGACAACACATCGCTATTAGCAGGGCGGTTGAAATAGCAGGGTCTTTCAGTTCACTCGAGGCAAGATCTGCGCGGTTCGGCGCTTTACAGAGGCGTGCCTACTTCAACTTGTCGCTTTGGGCCATGTTTTGGCCCCGTGGCCATGGCCATGGTCCCTATGGTCCCTCAGGCGGTGAGGAGAGCTGCAGGCCGAGCCGAGGGAGGGGCCCCCCCTCTGAAAAGAAGCGTCGTCTCGGCCTTCGGCCTTGGGTGAAGGCATTGCACGGCGGCGAGCGCCGCTATTGCCCGCCACCCGGAGAGAGGTTGCAGGCTTTCCGCGGAAGCGCCACCTCTGCGTCAGAAGGCTCGTCCTTGACCTGGATGAGACGCTGGCCCCCCTGCGCTTCAATTTCTCGTGCCGTTGGGCATCTGCGACATCCATGAAGTGTGGGCCAGGTGCGGGTTTGCTGCAAGGGCGTCCACCACAACCGGAATCTGAGAGTCGGTGGCTCGCCTGAGTTGGACTTCATACTGTGCCGGCAGCTTTCAGAAGCACGCGTCTGGCATGCCTCGTCTACTTGAAGTGAATCGCGCAGATCACGCACACACGCAGAGGGGAAGCTCCCTCTAGGGTCTTGTTGGGTTGGTCTTGAGGGCGGGTTTCTGTGTATCTGATCTGAAGGGTTGTACCCGACGGGACGGGAGCTTCCAGCTACAGCCGCCAGCCAGCAGATGGGCCAAAACAACAGCGGAGCAACAGCGGAGCATTGCGGGAGCAGGGTGATTTTCTGAGTTCCCGGTTGTCAGTTGACTTCCGCGTGCCCATCGAAGTGGGAGCTCTGCCGAAGGCCACGACGCCCCGGACTCGGCTCCCTCGGCTCCCTCCCTTTGGGGGGCTCCCCCCGTTTGGCTCCCTAGGTTCGACTGTGGAGTCGCTCTGCGCCCGGGCGTGGAGCGCGGAGCCTGGAAGGCGCTTGAAGGCACCGAAGCTCTGAGTTGGGCCATGTGAGGAGCTTCATGGAGTGGATCAAGGAGCTTCATGGAGTGGATGTGTGCCGTTTGCGTAGTGCCCAGTGCACAAACATTTGTCGCGTTTCGCTCACAGTTGCATAAGGAGCTTGCACAAGCGCAGGTCGTCGTACTTGCGGGTTTGCGTCGTGATTCTCGGTATCTAGCTGGGATCGATTGAACTTGAAAGCTGACTGTGTGATCTCCATGCGTGCGGGGTTTAGGGCCACTGTTTTCTCTCTACGGGAATCAAGGGACCCGCGTATCGTCAAGTCCGGTAGTGGGGCCACTGGCCATGAGCCAACGGAAGCGTGTAGACCTTCGTCACTTCGGGTTTTCATTGATTATCACTATTCGCTCTCTGGATGTTTGCAGACCTGGGTTTCCTTCAAACGAACTCGCTTCTGCTGCTTGCGCCCTGCCCTGCCCTGGGGGCCACGAGGTTTTATCCCTGGCCGTTTTGGGGATAATAAGAGTAATAAGAATAGTGATAATAGTAGTAAAAACAGCCATTCATATTCAATATAATAGCAACAGTAATTAGATGCCCTCTCTCTCTCTCTCTCTCTCGCTTATGCGCCTGGGAGGAGAGGCGGCGAGAAGGTCTGATTGAAGGCCAAGAGACTTCTCTTTGCTCTTTTCTTTGCCAGCTTGGAGATGGGTTTTTGTCTGCCATTGTCTGAGCTAGATGTCCCGTGGGTGCAGCTGTTTAGATGGTCGCACCCTCTGGTCCAGCATCCAGCCGACGCATGGAAGCCTTTCGGCGAATCGGGAGGACATGCCACGCGACTCGTCTTACCAACTCGCACGTCTTGCAGTCGAAAGTGTAAAGTGGCTGGCATGGAGCTTTCAAGGCTCATGCCAGACGTCATGCCGACATCCGCAGTGCATTCTTTCATACTTGCGACTATGAAAGGAAATGTGTGCTCCGGACCAGAGTCTCGTCTGAACTGTTGAACGGTCTTTGCTGCCAGTGATGCGTCTTGTGACGTCTTGTGGCAAAATAGCGAGTGCAGTGCCCGTGCCTGAGCAGGAGCTGCATTCAGTACTGGCTTTTGCCGGAAAGAGCTCCGGAGTGGTACTCTGGCTGCATGTGCCGAAGTGCGCCTGGAAGACACGCCAAGCGCGCACCTGTCAAGGTACCGCAAACTGGTTTTGGGAACTGGCGGAAGGGACGTGCATTCGCAACCACCGCCGAAGGACTCCTTACCACTGCTAGGCAGGAGTGCCAGGTTGTTCGTGCAAACTACTCTCCTTGTATGTTATGGGTAGACTTCCATCCTGTGGCTTGCAGGCCACCTTGACCTCACCGTACCAAAACTAGTGGTGCCTCAGCGAGCAGCTGAAACCTGAGAGTTCCTTGCGTGCATCTGGCGACCGATCGTGGACCAAGGATGCGAAGGACTACTGGATCAATGGTCTAGGAGCCCTTGAGAACTACAAAGAATCCTCGGGTGAGTTGCTCGACGTGTGATACTGCTAGGTCTAGCGACATCTCTCAACCTCCAGCACCGGGACGATGCATCAAGCTGCCGCCCTGCTGCTGATTCTGAGGCTTTGGGCACACCTGGGACCCTCGCAGATTCGCATGAGCGAGGGCAGCATTCGCAAGTGGCCTGGAGAGCCTGCCTCTTAGCGTGCGATTGCTTGCTTCCTTTCCGCACTGCGCTGGCTGCAAGGATTCGAGTCTGGGTGGAGGACATTCGAACGGTTGCCGAGACTGGGCATGCTTCAGCTTTGTTTTCTGTTGTGTCGTGCTCTTGGAGCAGCACCAGCCAAGGACATGCTCAACATGTTGGGACGTACCCTGGACACGAAACTGGTCGCTGAGATGCGAGAAGCCACCACCGGCGGCGAATATGCGGCGCAGTTTGGCTGCAGAGTTCTGTTTTGCCTGCTTGTTCGCATTGCACGTTCCCAACACTGGAACAAAGAAGATCTTGTTGTCAGACGCTGACAAGCTGTTTGCGTCTCTTAGCAAGTTCATGATTCTTGTTTTTTCTGTAACGTGCTACTCAGCCTGACTCACCGAACTTGCGGGCCGTGTAGACACCGTCGATGGGTTCCACGGTTTTCGTGGCTTTGGTCATCACTGGTCATAACTCAGCCAGCATACTTAAATCGATGAGGTGCAGAGCGGTGTGCTGCAATGTCTTGTTCTAGTTCTGTCCTTCGGCAATATGCGATGAGGTTTTGCTCTACCCGTCGGAGCACACGAACCGGTCCAAGAGTCCGAATTGTGACGCGTATTTTGGCTCTGGTGAGTGCATCCCAGGCTGCTGCATGACCCTGGCCATGTCAACAAGGTCCAAGCCAGCGAGGCGTGTTGCTCTTGGCAGCAAGTCGTCTTCGTCAGAGAATTAAAGTGTTGGAAGGCACCTTCGGGTTGGGCGGAAGCGATTCGGGCTATTCCATCTGGGCTGTGCCTTTGACCGCATGGTCTGCGAGGGAGGGGGTGTGGCTTTCCTGCCTTCTTTCGCCAAGGAGCGGCGAGGTCCGCAAAAAGAACGCTCTGGCTCTGTCCGAAGCGGTAGTTTTGCTGCCAAAGCGAGAACAGATCCAAGGCCGCAGAGAAACGATTTCTGGCTCTGAGACTCTCAGCGCAGGGAGGGGACAAGTCACCTGCAGGCGTCGCGCGCTTCTACGACCACTTCATTGGCTCGGCCATCACGAAGAAGTATCAGGTCTACGAGGCAGAGCGGGGAAGTATACGGCTCACGTGAGAGCAAGGGACTCGTGGAGGCGCAGGCGTTGATGGACATTTGCATGGTGCACTTTGCGCCGGGTGCGAAGCTGCACCAGACATTGACTTACAAGGCAGACAAGACAGCCGTGTTTCCTGGCCGCACTGGCTGCAGCCTAGGCGTAAGCTCGTGTTAACAGCGGTGCCGGAGAGATTGTAGCACCGCGTGTAGATTGCATCTGACTGCCAGGATTCCGGGCAGCCTGGCTTCCGCCCCCCGGCAGAGCTTTCATGGATTTCGTGGGCTTCCAAGCCCGGATTGGCTCCCGGATTGTCAGGACGGCTCGTCTCATTGCCGTTGTTTTCTAAATACAACACTGATTTCTCAATACAACACAATGGTAGAATCTGGTAGAAGCGTGGTAGAGCTGGTTCACGGAGTGGTGCGAGTCACAAGAAGTGGGCGCAAGCATCCTTTCAGTTTGGGGCAACAGTGGGATCCTGGAGTCCGGACGTGCTGGCTCCACTCATGTTTCATGCTGCGGCAGACCGGCCGTTTTTTCGTCGGACATCCATTAAGGGTCACTTTAAGGTTTCCTTTAAGGGATTCCTGCAAGGGCTCCGCTAAGGGACGTACTGGTACTAGGCCTGTTCGTATCGTGAAGGAAGCGTAAGACCTCTCATGTTGGAGCCCAGGTTTGCATTTACCTGAAGGACCACGTGCAGTTCCACTTGGTATACGTGGCTTGCTTCAATTTTTTGTTGTCCGAGGTGACAGCTGGTACAGCTGACGGCTCCAAGTGTCTGAGGCCAAGTCCAAGGCTGCCGGGATCCTGAGACCAGACGATGCAAAGAAAAGCTGGGAAGAGGCGGGGGCGGGACGTGAAGTTTCGGTGCCACGACATGGAGTTTGACACCAAGCCAGGTCGAGTCTGCGCACGAGTATACGATTGAAGGCAGCCGCAGGGCCGCGCCAGGGCCAGTTTCTGTTGCTGTGTCTGCTACTGTCTGTGTGGTGTCGTGTATCAAGCGCAATCTGAGAGAACGACCACCGCCTTTGAGAGGCGTTCTCGACCCTCAGAGCCATTCCATGGTCATCGCCTTGAACCACGTGATTAGATCCCTGGACTTGTTATGGTGCGCACGAGTAGGCTCCGGAAACCAGGCTTCCCTTGATGCTTGAAGGAACTCTGGAACACCCCGAATGCCCTTTGACGCCGAAATGAGAGTGATGCAGGGTGCGATCGACGTAGCGAAGTAGGACATCTTTTGGCCTGTTGCACCGTTGAGGTGCCAAGGACTTTCCGCGACCTGTGTCTTGCGACAGCACCAGACACAGGCGGAGGCTGCAAGAGGCAGCAGTGGAATCGGTCGAGGCTTGAAGCCCACCATGTCTCACTGCAAGCTCAGAACTTCGAGCTGCGCCTTGTTTAATAAGAATCCGGGCAAGTTTGCAAGCGACCAGCGGAGGACGGACACCGCTTGCAGGTCCATGGATCTACACGACCTCCACTCCAAATTATACAAAGGCGCAGAGTCTTGCTACCTCTCCAGCAACGGATTGTTGAAAGAGCCTTGAGAGAGCGTCAGGCCCTGATGCGTCACGTGGATCCCGGCGGCCGTGTCTTCGCGATGCGTGCCCGGACCCCAAAGAGTTTCGGGAGCGGAGGAAGGCCCTTGAAACTCCCTGCACGCGGGTGCATGCATGCGCACAGAAGCGGCATCATGTGAAGGTCCTAACCAGGGAGAAGTGCAAGCCATGTGCGATTCCAGGATTCCTCCTGAAGGACCGATCAGGGGTCGAGATCTCCAAGCTCCTTCCAAGACATTCACTGATTAGGAAATGTCTCAGATCCCGTCGAAACATGACGCGGATGATGCCACTGACGGGCCCTCGGCTTCGTGCTTCGATCCGAGCTTCGGGATCTTCGGCTCTGCTGATGTGGCGTTGCAAGGAGCAGCAGCTTCTTCAACGCCGAGTGCAGGGCCCGGCAGTGCCCGGCATTCTGAGAACGGTTTGACGTTTCATGCCCCGAGCCAGAGGTGCTAATTGACAACAGCCCGGTGTCCTGCGTTCTGCATCCCAACGGATCTGTCGGAAGCCTCGGCTTGGCAAAATTCTAACTGCGCTTTGCTTTGCTTCGCTGGCCCCCCCCCACTCCCCCCCAGCCCCCAGCCTCTGAGGTCTTGGTCCGTGATTGGTTGGGTGAGGGCACCGAGGACGACGAGTTGCCTCGCGTGCAGCGCCTGCTGGAGGCACATCTCTCTTCCACAAAGGGAAGGGAAAAAAAAGAAGGGAGCTCCTCCTCTTTTTCTGCGCTCCGCTCCCGGGAGGCCGTCCTTGAAGATGACGGCGAGAGTGAGGCCTCGGAGTTGCTCTGAGTTTCGTATCCATTATCATCTTCTTCTCTTCTTTTCCTTGTACTTTGTTGGAGCTGCTGTGCGGTTCTGGCAGGCTGACTATGCCGCCCGTTTGGCTCCTCGCCTGCATGCAAGTCGCTCGACACTCCATTGATGTGACTCATCGACAGGTTCGACATACAGCCGGGCACGGCAGCTGGAGTGCACGTTTGAAGGCACTTCTCCACATGCTGGAAGCTCCAACGGTGGCATTGCCAGAGCTGAGGGTCGGAATGGAGATTTTTTTGGCTTCGCGGTGCTTCTTTGAAGGCACTGAGTGGCCTCCTCGAGTCGCAGGCCCCAATGGAGGCATCTTTGCGGCCTGCATGACCCTTTGTCTTCGCACGTGTATCTGCAAAAGCAGCTGCTCCCGATCTGAGAATGGACAGGCCGACGAACTGCGCACAATGTTTCGCCGAATCTCCAACGAGCTCGGCGCTCAATGTGGGCATGCTGCTTCACGATGTGAGTTCAGGCTGCTGCGTCCTTTGCGCTGAGAGGTGCAATGATATGAAGCGTGAGCTTCTGGGTGCAGCACCGTGAGGTGCAGGCATTCCCTGACCATATTGTGTAGACACGGATGGTACTGTGGTATATATGCACTCAGAAGCAGAAGGCATAGCAAGCGTTGGTGTAGGACCGCGTGCTTGAATTCTTGAAGTAAGTGCATGAGGCCGTTCCTTAGCAGCTGTAGCAGTTAGTGGATGGCTGCTGCTTGTTTCCACACCTTCGGCAAGGATGCAAAAAACAGATGGTGTGCCTTACTGCCTGAATGCAGATGATGCAGAAAGGCTGCTGCATGACTCTCAGCGCATGTCAGATTCCATGAAAAATCATGAGTCTTCCTTCGTAGAGGAGCTTTATGAGGTCTGCTTGGGGCTGCCATCCAGCAGGAACCCTTGACCGAAGACGAAAAGCCCAAGCATTGAACCCAGCATAATCCAGCAAGAACCTTATACGCAAAACGAAAACCCTAAGGAGTGAATCCAGCAGGAAACTTTTGGCGACAACGAAAACCTTAAGGAGTGAATCCAGCGAGAACCTATTACCCAAGACGACACCCTAAGGAGTGAATCCAGCAGGAAGCCTTTTCCCGAACACGAAAACTCTAAGGAGTGAATCCATCGAGAAACTCTTGCCCAACATGAACCCTAAGGAGTTAATCGCCCATCACGAAAGCGCTAAACAAACCTGGTGTGACGGCTCTGGTTTGGTGTGAAATACAGCACCAAAAATTGTGGTATGGTGCTAAATATACAAGCAAAAATTTAGTGCGCCATAAAAAGGAAGTGGCCTGGGGCTAAAAACACCACAAAACGCATTGTAACTAAGATGCCTGTTTTGCAACCCTCTCAAAGATTTCTGTTTTTGGAATCGAAAAAAGTTACCACTCAGTCATTTTGCTGAAAAGACTGGAAAGTTACATCTAAGAGAGAAAATTTACAACTAGGTGTTCTACCTTCATTGCCGGTCGCATTCCTTCGGTGAAACTTGACAGTGGATGAAAGATTGTGTCTTCGGAATGGATCATCGTCCTCATCGTCACTCGGTGACCCCGCCCTCCTCCTCCTCCTCCTCCTCCTCTTCCTCTTCTTCCTCCGACTCCTCGTCCTCCTCCTGGTCCACCTCCTCGTCATCGCTCGTCCTTGCCACCACCATTGTTTTGTGGGCATCAGCCCCAGCATGTTCTTTATCATGATGCTGAGCAGCAGCCTCAGCAGGTGGCAAGTGCGATTTCTCTCTCAAGACTGGCTGCGCACACGGCTTGATTGCTGATCGACACTGCGTGTTTGACTGACGTGGGTGTTTCTCAAAGGCAGGTGGCACTCTTAGTTTCGCAAGCATGGCGCGC